GGTCGGTTTCCCGAGGGCTCGCCCCGGCACCGCGTCTCCTCCGGGCGGGGGTCCGCGCCGCCCGGGAGCTCGGTCGGGAAAGTTCTCTTCGCCTTTCCGTGGTTGCTGCCGTGTGCCGTGCCCTGCGGCCGCTCCTCGGCTTTCGGGCTGAGGCGTCTCCTCGTCAGGCCTGGGGCGAGGGAGCTCGCGTTGTGCCAGAAGCGGTCGCATCTCTGCAAAACTGTCACAGAAAAAGTAGCCCGTGCACGCGTGGAAGGCTTATTGATGAGGGCAACGGTGTGAATGGCATATGCTGTTCCGTTTTCCATCCGGAAAGAGAGGGAAAAAGTACTTTTGCTGCACAGATGCAGTGCTGTGAGCGATACTTTTCCGGCTAAATGAGAAGCTTGAAGACAAACCGAACGCTCCGTAGTTAGTACATGAAGCATGAGTAACACATAAGTTGATCTGTGCTGATTCAGGATGGTTGCATGCACTGTATCTGACTTTTCCCAAGTCGTAACGTGTTAAAAGAGAGAGAGGCTTTTAACAGAGCAGTAAATCTACTAACAAACGCCCAGTTACGGAGCCATTAGAATTGCCTTCTATTACTTTAAGATTTGCTGCTTGAGCTGACGGGCAGGACGCTGGGCGCTGCGCAGCATCGTAGGTTGAGAAACGCTTTTGACATTATGTCCCAGGCCACCAACTGGACTGAGCCTGTGTTCGGCCGTCAAGCAAAACGCGAGTATGACAAAGCAGTGTTGAGCTGCGGCGGCCCCGCAGCTGGGCTTGCGCTGCTTTCCCGCACCGACCCCTTTATGAAAGGCGCTGGCTTAGGCATCTCCTTCACCAGTTTGTCAACAAAACCCAACAATGTGACTAGCGGAGGAAATGCTTTCAGTTCTCTCACTTGTATTTGCAAAATACATGCCTACACGTATATAAATATGTATGTGCATGTATGCTTTAACGTTACGGCAAGCTTAGAGTATGAACGTTATTTTAAATTGGGAATCGTGTTATCTTTTATAACTATGTACGAAACTGGACTTTTAAAGTTGCTGTGGAGTGTGGCCCATAAATTTCTTGATGCTTGGTTTTCTTTTTGTCTGTTTGCTTTTAAATCATGTTTTGCAACTTAATCGTGAAAACGTTAACGGTTCTTGTTACTCACGTTTTCATTCCTAATGGGAAATACAGACTTGGGAGTTTGCATTGAAACTGAAACATTAATGGTCGCTTCCTAAGTCCGCTGGGCAGCTGCCGTGCTACGTACAAATTATTGTGCAACCAGAAGGTAATTTACACTTACTCAAAATCAGTCTTAAATTTTAAACTATGGTCTCCAAAGACGGCCCTTATTTTTTCACGTTTATCAAGACTTTATGTGGATGTGTATTGCAAGTCAGATAGGTGAAGCTGTCGAGACTGCTTCGTGATTGTACTTCTAATGCGGCGCATGTTATGTACCAAGGCATCGCGTTTTTGCCAGTCGTGCCTGCTAGCAAATTATAGGTAGGAAAACTTGAATGGTTTCCTTTTGAGCCTATCTTTAATGGAAAGATTTGAGAGGGGTGCCATGTTCTGACCGTTCTTTGTCATGGTAACGTGACGCAGAATGGCAAATGTCGAACATCTCCATCTAAGGTCCTGCAACTTGATCATACGGTTTTGTAACCGTGCGGCATAATTTGGTGTGCGCCTCTGTGTTTACCTGATAATTAATAAATCTCCACCCTGCATTTAATTGGAAATGCAGGCAAATTGTATTTTGCTTTACTGATAATAAATTGGTGTTTTATAATCTGAGTTGGATATTTGGTGATTGTTAGGAAGTGAGATGTTGGGGAATATCTTAAATTGCTCTTCTGAATTTATTTCTAATATGCTAGAACAGGTATTATGACTGGCAAAATAGGATGGAAAGGAAAGCAGTGATTCTTCTACAAAATGAAGCCGTTTCATTACTAGGAAAGAAAACATTGACCTCTTTTCCTGAGCGTTTTGATTTTCTTGACTTTTTTTTTTTAACAATTGCCATCTTTTTGCTTTGCGAGCTGCAGTAAACAAGTGTGCAGCCGCAGAATGCTAATTCAGAGCGGTGTAGGTGAGAATATTGTGTGGTGTTTAACTGTTTCAATACTTCTATTTTTCCTTATACCATTTAAACTTAAAAAGCTCTCTGGCTTCCTTTTTTCTTCCCCGCAGTACTTTTGTTAGAAATTTTTACAGTTGTTAGGTGAAGACCAATATAATTTTCAGAATCGACCTCCTACATGGGCAGCTGGTGAACTTTCACTGTGAACGCTGAGCATTGAGCAAGGATTAAAACTTAGCGAAACTGGCGATCTGAAATGTTTCTGGTAGCAGCTACATTGGCTGAACTCGTGCAACGCAGGTAGCATGTACGATATTCTTTAAATGTCTCTCTGCTTTAACATTTATAATGTAATTTTGATATTAAAATATAACCGAGTCCCTAGTTTGAAATTCCTTGCTGATAGTACCCGAATACAATAAGATATAAATTGAAATATGCTGTCTACGTGTTGTACTTTTCCCCCAAGTGACAACGTCATTTCAGTTGATAATAAAGGTCCAATCGTAAGATTTACGGAGCAGTTAAAGCTTTCTATCTGCGCGGGTTGTTGTGATGTTTGATGGGAAAATACTTCTTATTTTCCAAAAGTAAAAGCTTTATTGCAATCAAAGCCCCTGAGAATGAAAAGCTGGTGGGGAAGGGAAACCTGAATTCACACACTACGGAGGATGACTTACAAAACCACACGCTTGCATGTGAAATAAAGCGGAAGACTGAGAAGAAGGAGAAGGACAGTTGTGATGGTGTTGGTTAGCGTTCGTAACCGGTTTCTGCTGCGGTTGTGGGGAAGGAGTGGAAATGCAGGGTAGGGCCCGTAGCACCGGCAAGTGAAACACATATGGGAAATCTCTGAAAAGACCTCAGATACCTGTTCTGCACAGAAAGGTTTTAATACGTTTTTGGAACTGCTGGTTTGTTGGTTCCGCCCGCCCCCCTCTTTAGGTAAGTCTGCTCTTAGGGGAAGATTTTTGTTTATAATTTGGAGGTGGTATTGCAAAATGTAACTTTTAGATGACAGCTCAGTGCGTGACAAATTTTAGCACCTGCTGTTAGATTGACTGGAGTGCCTAAGCTGCGTGAGAGAGTGGAGACTCCTATTAATAATTCCAGGTGTGTGGTTCATTGCAGTCTGATGGAGCAACTAGCTGGAAATAACTGAGAGAAAGGACCGAGTGGTGGCTGTGGGCTAACTATAAAGATGTTGCACTTCTGTGAAAGTTCTCGCTTAAAACATGCCGCAAGTAAACTCCATGATTATAGGAGACCTAATTGTATTGAAATGCAATCTCTTTGTATGTTTTAATGGCTGGTTGCATGCTTTCGGTTCTAATGATTCGTCATGGGTAATATCTGTCTAGTGGAAATGAAGCAGTTTTTAACTCCCTGTGTTGATATAGGAGCATATGTTTATTTTACAAATTGAATAAAGATGTCTTAAAACAATGGGGGGAAAACCAAAGTTAATATTTTTTTTCCTAAGGAGTCGTGCCCTGGAGATTTTGGGCTCCTCTGGAAGGAAGATGGAATTTCCAACATCTGCGCCTGAGTCGTCATCAGTTTGTGCCAGTTCTGGGGGGCAGACAGGAGTAAGCAGGCTGGTGCTGAATGCTTTGAGTCCTTTATTTCCTATAGCAGCAAGGAGGAAACTTGTTGGGAAAAATAACCTCCAACATATTTTTTTTTTTTAAGCTTAAACCCATTATGTTTAAGCATGTGCTTTTTGATTTTTTCCTTGTGTGTTTACTTTGTGTAAAATGTGGGGTTTTCTTTTTCTTTTTTCTTGCTTTTTTTTTTCCCAACTCAAGGTCTCTCAGGAGAGATAAAATATGAAATGTACTCCCATTATATACATTAGTCATGGCAAATAGTTTGGCATATATGGCAAAGGCTAAACTGATACTTAACAAGGGGACATTAGGAGAAACACTGGTTTTACTGTTTCTCTTCTTACTGTTACTGATCCAGGCTTTCCATATTTATTTGCCTTTTAAAGTACATCTCCCTACCCGACAGAGCCCTGAACACTCATCGAGTTTGTGGTGTAACAACTGTAACAGCCCTGGCTGGACATGGAAACAAAACAGAAAGTGCTGTAGCTGTCTTAGTTGAGAAGCCTTACCGAAACAAGGGACAGGAGCTGAAAAAGCAGGCTGCACGGTGTGGGACTCGCCAGAGAATGTGGGAACTAAACCCGCGTTATTAAACTCCTCCTTGTGTTTCCCATTCTCCGTCTCTGTACGTTATGAAACACACAGCGAGGGAACCTCAGTTTTCTCAGAATTGTCTGGCTCCTTACTGTGTAATTATTGAGACTCTTCTTAGACCTCACCTGACATTAAAATCAGGACTTAAAATGTGTGTACCAATGCGTGTGTGCATGGAGGGGCAAGGACAGGGACACCTGGGGGTGCTTTGCTTTTAAGTTTAGTTGCTTACAAAAAGTAGCATCAGCGATGGTAACTACCTTCAAGTCAGGTAATTAAAATTTCTCTTTTCTCGTAACATTTCCTTTTCATAACATTTCTCATTTAAGAATACTTTTTTTTTTAAATGTATTTTATTTTTTGATGGAAACCAATGATGCCTCCTGTGTATCAGGTGTGAGCCAAAGCTTAAGGATGAATTAATCACATGGATGTTCTCTGTTTTAAACAAAAATGACTGAAAGTGTGGGTTTCTTTGACTTGAAATCATTTGTGTTCGGGTTTTTTCTGTTTTTTTTTGTTTTTTTTTTTTTTTTTAACTCTCATTTAAAACCCAACAGCCTATTGGGAGAAAAGTACAATAAAATTGAATTTAAGGCTTGAAGAGAGAGCACAGAGGTACAAAGTGGAAAGGGGTCAGAAAAAAGAATTCAGAAGGAATGCCTTGCATGCAAACTTCTCCATGTAATCTGGCTTGTATTATCAGTTATCAGTCAATTCTTAGTTGCCCAGAAATGTCAAAATTCTTTCACATATTTTAGTGGAGAGAGAGATAACAGCCGTGATATCAACTTTAGTAAAAAGTTAAATAATACGTACTTTATAAGAAGCAATGTAATAAGTGGGTTTTGGACCACAACACATGGCAATGGAGTTCTCTTTACTGTAACTAAGTTACCTGGATGTTGCGCTTTTACTGGAAACTCAATACTACTGTTCCTGTCAATGGAAAGACTGGGAAACGTGTTCTTTTGGTTTTCCTCTTAATTCAGCCCTTGTCCATTCAAAGCTGTGTGCACCTAACAGTGAGTAGTTACGTGTGACCTGCTGAGCTACTGCTACTCTGTGGTGATGATGCTAAAATCTTTCTGACCCCATTTGGAGGGAAGGAAAATGGAGATGGGTAAAAAGCTCAATACCTTTTAGTTCTGATCCTTTCTGGGGGCTGTCAAAATGGGAGGAACTAGATCATCCAAGATCTATTTATACTTCATAGAGGACTGCAGAAATTTATTTAGGAGGGTAAAAAATGGATTGTTTGCATGAAATAATAATTTTAGTCACTTTAAAGTAGTCCTTCACATAGAATCTGCTTTTTCTGAAGAGTAAGCTGTCTTGATTTTTTTTTTTTATTTAAATGAACTCCTTTGATCTGATTTGCAGCTAGACACTATCAGACTGACTTTATTCCCCTGAATATACTTCCCCCTTCCCCCCCCGCCCCCTTCATCCTTTGTAACATTTTATAGTTGATTTAAGGATGTAATTGCTCTGTTAGCCTCTGCCCCTCTATGTCCAGCTGCCTTCTCTTTGTCAGACTAATGACCCGTCACAGTGAAGCTGTCACTTGACACACTGGGTGAAACCAGAAAATCTGCCCCCATCGGGTTTTAGAAACATTTAATATCTGTCCCGTTCTGACAACTCAAGCCTAGCCCGTTTTACAAATGCCTTTTGCCTATTTAGAAAAAATGCCAAATAAAAGCATTGGGTATTCTGTTGCAGGAAGGGGGCGAAGGCTTGTTTTCTTAAAGGATCAGTATTTGTGAGTGCACAGACAATTATTTTGTTGCAGACTTCCTAAGGGTTTTTTTGTGTGTGTGTATGTAAACTTGTGAAATGTGAGTTTAACTGGTATTAATTGTACCACAAGCCGCGTATTTATCCCGTGCATCTGAGGAACTACAAGGAAGATGGATTTGTTGTTAGTTTTCTACCTGTCCGTGTTGGGAGATGAGCTGAACGGGCAGTGAGCGGGACCGGGCTGGAGTTGCGCTGTGTGGCTGTTGCACTAAATGATGCTGTTCAGATTTGTCCTCCATCATCTCTGTTGTTTAAAGACATGCAGGTGTCTCACCAGCCTTTGCAGAATGCTCCAAAGATGCCATGAGCCCTACCTGACTCTGGGGGTGATACAAATCTGTAGCTATACTGGTTGTTACGTGTAGTCCCTCTCCTGCATGGTTTTAACTCTAAAGCCTGTGTTACATGAAATGTTAATGATCGTGACTGCTTTAAGAGGGATGGGGTAATATTCTGCTTCATCACTTCCGGATATACTTCTTACTAGGAAAAGATAGGGACAGGATAAGGAAGTGTTTAACTCCTGTTCCCTTGAGTAGTGTCTTCTGCCGGCCAGGATTGACAGAGAAGACGGTACTGTGGGCAGGTTATGAGCAAGCTCCCTGGCTGACTACTGATCGCCTGGTCCCTTCCTTGGCTTACTGGCTTTTGAGTTACCAAAAGCATCTGATGTTATCTAGTCTTAGCTGCCTTCAGCTTGCCATAAATCTTGTGATTTTCTGTACAGTAGGCTGCAGAGTATTAGAATTCAGGCAATGAAAAATGTCTTGAATTTGGTAGTGTCAAAAGCTACAGTTTTACGTGTCGTGGCTTTTTTCCTGGAGGGGGGAGATGTGTGAGTTGATGGTGTCTGTGAGCTAGGGCCACTTCTCTGGAAATGTGCAGGAGTTGCTCTTGCATTTTCACTTACATTCAAATCTTTTTTTTTTAAGAAATAGACTTTAAGTACCTCTGCCACAAGTGGCTTGATAGCTGACATTTCCTTCACTGAGATAACAAATACTCTTCTGTTGGCTTTTGCATATTGTAGAGTTGAAAAGCAGCCGTAAATTGACCACAATCTGTCTCTGCAGTACGAAATATTATTTCTGTCTCTGCTGATTAATGATCTCTTCTTAGGGGAAGACTAAGTAATTTTATTAGGTTGATGACACATACAGTTCATTACACTGACCAACTTTTATTGTTATCTTTTTGGCCTCAGTTTTTTAAAAAACTGTAAAATAAAATTACAAAATACTTATAGAGAACAAAATGCTGTATAATGCTTTAATAATGTCTTTTTCACCCTGCTTTCTGCTCTGCCTGGAACTAGAGTGAGAGCAGATTAACTTCTGGTACAGAGAAGTTTGCTCCAGTCCCTGTAGAGCTCTGCGTAGCTATGTGTGCTTGCATGGTTTGCAGTCTGGATGCCACTCCAGAGATTGTCAGAGATTTCCTCTGCTCCTCCCCATAAAATTCTTTGTCAGAGATCATGCACAATTCAGACTGAGGATGGGATTTGGAGAAAAGATGACTCTTGTCTCCTAAAACCGTAGAGAGAAATATTAGCAAACTAGGGTGAGATTTTTTTTTTTCAGCCCTAGGGTCCTCTTATCTTCCAAACTCTTCCATTAACACATCTTAACGTTCACACCCCTGCTATCCATGTGCTCTGCGCCATCCATTTGTGCCCCACTCATGGCACATTCTTGTAAGGTCACCTACAGCTTTCCACTGGTCTGCCAACCTACAATCAAACATTGGGCTCTTTTCTTTATTTACCGCTTCATTCAAGGTCACTATTCTATCCTGTAGCAACACCTTCTCCTCATGCTACAGGCAGGGCTTACCCTTTTGCTGGCATCTTTCTGTTGACTCTCTTTGAGATGGCCCAAGAGGTTTCCCTCAGGTTACTCTGACGTGCATTACGCTTAGGAGAGTGTCACTGATGTGTCTAGAGGTGAACATGTTTGTAAATAATACAGAAGAATAGTGGTTGACTGGGATGGTGTTTATAGATACCTCTGTTGGCAGCATGAGCAAACAGGTTCATAGGTGAAGTGGTGTAAACAAAAGAATACTTGAATCCAAGACAACTCTTGTATTTTCTCTACTGGTTTGGATTTTATTTGAACACACCTTCTCTTTTTCAGCTCCTGGAGAAGTAAAAAGTGCTAACTAACTCCTTCAAATTTGACAACAAAATTCAAGTTAATCACATATCAGTGTATCTTTGGTAGCTCAGACTTCTATAAGACAAGGGATCATTACTGTTCGACCTAGGTTTTGTAGGTTTTCTGCGTGCAAAGTATTAAAGGATTGAATTTCCTTAAAAAAAAAAAGGAGTAAAATGGAAATTTGCAAGGGCTAGAAGTGATTTAGTAATTTTGTTTAGATGGTTAGAGTATATCTGTGCAGAGTAAATCAACATGCCTTATATACTGTACTGTCTTACACCTCTCATCTAAGTCGGCTACTTGCTTTGTTTTCCGTGTAAATTCTCAGGATTTTTTTTGTTGTTATATTTGCTGCAGTTTTTTTAATGTAATAACATGAACGTAACAGCTATAATTTTGTGGTATTTCCCCCTATATTCAAAGGAGCTTTTATAAATTTTATGAAGATCCCACTTTATCCTAATCCATATGGCAAGGACATAAAATATCAGCAACTAAGATTACTTTCTGGATTGCTGGCATAATTTACAGGGGGAACCTGCTCTAAACTGCAAGATGGCCTTCT